CCCAAGATCTTCACCTACATAGGTGTTTCAGGACGCAGAGGAGAGTGGGACGCCGAAATAAAAGATGTACTTCCACACTGCACGACAGATTCACGAAGAAATTAAAATGTTCTTTTAGAGAGACAGAGACACAGTCTCCAAAATCCAGAACACACCCATATACTTCTCTACATCCGGGACATACAGCGGGTAAGTGTTTCATCTGAATTAGGAATTGTGATTAGAGAGAATACTAGTTCCATAATCCCCCCCAACCCACCGGTGTGATCTTAGTAAAGTGACTGAACTCTTCTGAGACTCAGTTTCCTCCCTTGTAAAATGGGGATAAAAAATCATACGCAATTTATAGGGTTAATAGTGAGGACCACAGGAGATCACTTTTGCTGGGTGCTTAACCGAGTGCCTGGCGCGTGCACGCGGCCCTTGTATGCCAACTATTTTTATTATCGTTGTTCTGTGTACTTTGAACGCCGACATCTGCAACATATACTTCTTGATTATACGCATCTTGATTATAAAACAACCAAATGCATCTACATCCGGAACTGTCTTGCGCATGAACTTCTAAATCCAAATTGGAAGAGACGGCGACAGATGGAGCGCTCACAAGTACACGCAAACACACACGTATCCTTTCTAACACCTGCAGTTCCTGGCCTCAGAAAGAGAACACCCCAGGAGCTACCCAAAGGTACCTCCGACTAAGGCTACGTACATGGAGCCCAGGTCGCCGCTTGGGCTCAAAGCTACACACTCCAACAGTCACTGTCTTGGCTGGGTGCCGTGAGGTCAAATTTGGAAACCAGCGAGGCAGAAAGTGCGCGGACGCGAAGCGTTTCAAGCGTCTTGCAGCGCCCGAAGGCGGCTGCCTGTCTGCTAGCTTAGGGGAAAGGTCTGAACCCGGGTTTTCCTTCTTGGATGGAATTTTTTTTAGGGCCTACTCGTCGGGAACTTTCCCCACACACAGAAAGGGCGGGTCCCAAGRCAGCGTAGATCCAGAGACAGGCCCTACGCACGCACACACAGTCGCCGGCTTGCACACACCCCTCGCTCCTTCGGGGCTGCGGGGACGGGGGGGAGGGAGCGCAGGGTCGTGACCCCTGCCTCTGCCCGAGCGCGCCCTTCGGCCCCAGCAATTAGCGCCGGGAGGTCAGCAGGAACCCGGACGCCTTTGCCCGCGGCTCAAAGCACAGCCAAAGGCGACCCTACCCCTCCCCTCCGCGGGTCTCAGACGCCAGGGCGCTGCCAGGCTTGGAGCCGACCTTTCCAACGGGCGGGGACCCGAGGGCTCTGGCCGGCACCCGCATTTGTCACCTTAAATCTACACATCACGGAGTCGCTCGGCCCTGCAGGCTTCGATTGCTGGCCACCGCCAGGGGCTATTCGAACTGCTGCTCCCGCGAGCCGTGGCCTTTGTCCTTGTAGACGCTACCAGGTTAAAGAACGAGATTTTGCTGTGGTTAAAGTAAGAAAGCCGAAGGAAGTTGGACCCAGGGTAGAGTTCGAGGTGTGAATATCGGGGAGAGGGTGTCCTTTCTCTATCTGCTCATCCCGAGTTCAGGTTATTCCCTGCCGGGGTAGGTTTCCACTTGGCGAGAGAATTATGAGCGACGGTCCCCTCGCTGAATTTCCAAACATTCTTTGGAAATCCAAAGGACAGGGCTGTTTTTCTCATCTGAGGCCCAAACAGGAATGAAAGTGATATCCAGGAAAGAGACGACGGCCGCTTCTTCCGAGGGGAGTGGGGTCGGCGTGGGGGTGGGGTTTCGGGCTGGAGGTGGCAGGGACGAAAAGGGGCAAAGGTGAAGCGCCCAAGTTCCAGAACCCGGGAGGCGCTGGGGCGCCTAGCCAGAGGCGGCTACCAGGGCGCATTTGTGGGCCAGACAGATAGGTGGCACTCGAAGCCCGGAAAAAAAGGCGAAGGCGCCTGCCCCGAGTGGCCTCGGYGGCCGCCGCCGCCACCATAAAGCCCGCGGCGAGATTGCGACCGGCGCCAGGTGAGTAATAGGCAACGAAATCCAGAGAGATTGCAAGCCGTTCACCCCAGTCCATCAGCGCCAGAAGAGTTACTTATTAACATCGCTATATACAAATAAGATACTCAGGAGATTAAAAAACAGTAAGGAGGAAGGAAAGCCCGCAGGAGAGGCCGGACACATGTTTGAGCACTGTCCCTAAATTTGGGGGGCGGAGGGGGGTAGGGAGGAGGCAAGAGATCTGGGCTGGAAAAGGAACGCATTTTTCTCTCTTGGAGGCCGAGTTATTTTCTCCCCAATTTGGAAGCGCACAGCTGGGCGCAACCAGCCCACTACCACCTTGTCAGGCGCGTGGGCACCGAGCATTTTCGCTGCGCCGAGAACCAGCCCCCTTGGGCACCAGCCACCGTGTATCCAGCTGCACACCCTGGGGATCCCCGGCCCGAAGGGGTTGCTTTAACCCCAAAGGTCTTCAGGCCCTCTAAGCCCCCTCCCCCCTCCCTCCCTCCACTCTGGTTGTCTTCCTGCTCACACCCTGAGACAGCTCTGGAGAGGCCGTGGGGGTCCCCACGTGCCTGACCCGGGATGGAAGGGGTTTTGCCCCCCTCTCCAAAAGGTCTCGACCTCAATCCTCTTCCAAGTACAGGACCGAGAGGAGCGGGGCGGGGGATGTCCTCTTCGCCGGCCGTTCAAGAGGCCTGAAGGTGATAGGGACGTGGGGCCGGGCAGGCGGGCTCCGGAGGGGGGGAGCCAGTCAGCCGCCAGCCAGGCTCCAGTTGGGTCCTCGCGTCATGGGCCCCAGGGCAAGAAAAGGCCTAAGGACTAACCCTCGAGAAACTTCCCTTACCTCCCCCCACCCCCAAGACATATAGACAACGCCGAGGTGAGCCCGGGGGTGGGGAGATTAAAATTGACTGCCCCCCCCTCGGCATTTTTTTTTTTTAATTGAATGTTTTAAAGATAAATTGAACTTCAGAAGGCAACTTCCTAAACTCTTGGGGACGGGTGAGAAGTAAGGATCGCCCTCGGGGGCGACTTTTACCTAGGAGGAGGTGAAATAGGCGCCTTTCAAATGCAAGGAAGACTTCCCTCCTCCCTCTCGAGACACAGCTAAGTGTGCGCAGAACTGTCGGCGCCCTGCACGCACAGCCAGAGGATGGATGGGGCCTCGTAGAGGCGCCCAGGGTCAGCCTGGTGGGGTCTAAGACACCCGGTGGGTGGGGGCGAGAAGCCTTCCTCTTGATCCATTTCTCTACAACCTGGAGGAGTCACCGGCTGGCCAGCGGCTCTGGTCGCCTGGGGATTCTGCTAGTCTTTTTTTCCCCGCGCCCAACACATTGTGCAGGAGATATTTTTGACTTGGAGTTCCCAGATCTATGTCAAAAGGGAGAGCGAACTTAAACCGGAAAAAAAAAAAAAAAAAAAAAAAAAAAAACCGTTCCTTGAGCTCAAACTTATTTTTGGTCGAATTCCTGTGGGAGAAGCTGACTTCAGGACAGGACGGGTCTTTTTCTATTAAAACTTAAGTATCTGAAATTACTATTCTTTCGAATTCAAATCAGGCTCCTTTTTCTCTGCCGTTTTGCTCCCTAATTTAAAAGAAAAGTATTTTCAGATTGAAGCGGCTCCCTCCGCTGTAGTACGGGACTTTTGTTCTTAGCTTTGTAACTTGAGTGACATCTCATTTTGGTTGGCTGGGGGCGGTCTTAAAATTATTTAAAGGCAAGGGAAAGGTGGGGGGAGGCCAAAGAAGAGACAGAATCCTCTCTGGGTTCTCTACCTTCAGGGAAAGTTGTGAGAAAGCATTTAACACAAGGCCCAAAAACACTTCAATAAAAATTTATTGAAATTTCAGTGATGTTTTAAAGAGGAAAAAAATACAGAAAACCAAAGAACTCGCCAACTATAACACAAAATATACCTTCATGGATTTTTGTCTTTAAACCATCCCTCAGCACCTGACTTTTGAACTGAAACTCTCTCTATAGGCACCAATTCAAAACGCCATCAAGATTGACAACAGTAGTTAAATTCCACTTCATTTGGAGGAAATCAGAGACTAGCAGATACAAATATGAAAGGAAAGTTGGGAAGTCAAACCACAGTCTCTGCACTCCCCCCAGCTCACACCAATCCCAGGACCACTCTCAGGGTGTTATATTTTCAGGAATTTCAAGTGGAGCTGGAAAGTGCTAACTCCTCCCCAATTTTGGCTAAAATAGGAAACAGCATTCCCCCCMCACACACAACCCCAACTCTTGACATTAAAAAATAAAAATAAATTTTGCAGACAACTCTTTTGAAAGTGTGTAGATGTCGGTGCAGAAAGTTTGTTTTCTAGTGTGAACAGCAATTCTGTGACCTGGAAATAAAATCGACTAAAAGAAAAACAAGAACAAAAACCTGACAATTGCAATCATATTTACACAGAGCTATGTACAATGTCAATAAATTAAAGTTTAATTTTCCAAGCATTTTCATATTCCACCTATTTACATGAGTTATCAAATAATTACATAAATACTTTGTCTAATAGTCTCGCTTCTTCTTTATTTTTTTTTAAAACCTTGTTATTGCATATACAGGAAAGAACAAACTGACGAAGAGGGATGTCAATCCAGCTACAGAGCTCAGATAAAATAAATTCAGTTTTTATTCCTCCCACCCTTCTCTGTGTCCCCCCCACCCCCCACTTCCTTGGGGTTGCAGACTTGAGAGCACAGGTTGAGAGGGGATGGGGTTGTGTTTTCTCTAAAAGCAAGGGTTCAAAATAAAAACCACAAATATACTACTGTGGAACATGCAAGAAGAGACCTATAGCGGCTCTTAAAACATCACAAGAATATTAAAAAGACACAGATTTCCTTAATATAGACTAAACAAGAATGGCAGGGACCTCCCTCCCCAAACAAGGCTGCTCAGTAATTTATTGAGAACCAATATGCAAGTCACTATGAAGTTTTTCACTCTTCACAAACAATCATGTTTAATGTATGCATTTACCCCCGATTTTTAAAAATTTTATTTGTTTCCACTTGACACGGTGAAAGGAAAAAAAATAGATCATATAAATCCACATTGAGGGAAATGCCTTTCAACACCTCTCCCCCCTGGAGGGCTCAGCTACCTCTTCCTGGGGCCACAGCTTCCAGACCAGCCTGGATAGCAGTCTCAGGACACAGATGCGATGCTTCCACCGGGTGGTGGCTCGATGCAACAGTGGTTTCTGAGCCCCCCGAATCTGAGCCAGATCCGAGATCTATAAACCATGCCAAGACGACAGGGTCTGTCTCTCGGACATTCTCTCAAGGAAGTCCGGCGCCCCTTCCCAGACACCACTGCAAAAGGAAGGGGGTAGGTAACCCCACGGCCCGTGGTTTAGTTTACATCCAACAAAGTGCGCTGCAGATTTGACTGAACTGGAATGAAGAGACTTTTCTGGAGGGGGGTCTAGGGGGACGAGCTGCGGGACCTGTCGGGCTTGGCTTCCAAGCCACTGACCAATCGCTGGATACTCTGAAGTTCGCTAGTGGCCGCCTCCTTCTCGGAGCAGAGTTTGGGCGACAAGGACACAGAGCTGGAAGAGAGCGTGGAGGAACGGCTGTTCAGTTCCGAGCCTGAGTCCACGGCCACCGAGGCGGGGCTGGAGGCCAGGGCAGCGGCCTTGCCGTCCAGGGGCCCGGCGGCCGGCGCCATGGAAGGCAGCGCGGTAGCCAGCAGGCTGCTGCTGTCGGGGACCGGCACCGGGATGGAGTAGGGGCTGTAGCGCAGCCTCGGGCGCATGCTGTTCAGGCTGAGGAACGGGTGGCGGTGCACGGAGCTGGAGGCCGCAGCTGAGGAGGCGGCAGCTGCTGCGGCCATGTACGTGTAGGGGTAAGGGAAGAGGCTTCCGAAAGGCGACATGGCCAGGCCCTGGGGAAGGAAGAGAAACCACACTGAGATCAGGGACTGCGGGGCGGGAAGGAGCCAGTCTCCTCCAAATCCTCCCCACCAACCGGGGAAAGCCTTTCCTTTGGGGGCACTGGGATGATATGACATGTCTAGATTCCAGTCTTAGCTATGTCCCCCTAGGCAGAGGAACGGAACCACTACGTCTCAGCCTCCTGATATGAACAATCAGGGAACAGCAAAGCATCATATACTGATTGAGGACTGGTGTTTGGAAATAAGGTAATGGCCACAACTGTCACACATAGTACCTGGCCCATAGCACCCAGTCCCCCCCCCCCACACACACACACAATTGCTGCACCTGTTAAGTGGGCTATGGATTCAGTTGAACCCACAGAGATGGCTGAAGGAAAACCAGGGGACACGTTATGAGACTTTTTTTGGGGGTGGGGAGGCATTCTTATCCTCTCCAATTTTCAATTCCAATTGCAAATTTCCCAGATGAGACCCCCAAATAAGTATGTAATATGTGAAGCAAAGCAAACTGAGTGGGGTGGCATTTGGCTATCCAAGACAAAGAAATCACCTGGCCTAATTGTTGAGTGTCACAGGTGGGAAACTGAGGCAGGTTTCAGGGGCCCAGGGATTTATTCAGCTAATAAGTGGCAGAAAGAGACTTTAAAATGTAGGGAGCCTGGGTCTGCACCATGCCTAGAGTGTTCGAATGCCCAGGCTGGTGCACAGGCACCTATTACTGCCGCCTGTGACCCAGTCTCCAGGAGAATCCTTCAGGGGACGGGGAGGAACTGAGAGAGGCCACAAGCCAGCCCTTTTTCTGGGCCCCCTCCTTCCCAAGAGGGGAGGCCAGTCCTGCCTTGTGGCTCTGGCAAGGGACACAAAGTGCTCAGACCAAACAAGGGCTTGCAGAAAATCCCAGAGAACCTTTTCAGCAGGTTCAGAGCATTCTGATCCGCCTGAGCCTGCTCCCCAGCACAGCTGTCTGACCATACAGAGGCCTGCCACAGCCCCTGCCGGTTCCTCTCCTCCGACATTTCCCAAGTGTGCTCAAACTGTTAACCCTATGGGGGACAGGCTGGCCAACTTGGGGCGGGGGTAGGGAGCAGAGACTGAATGAATCCTCAACCCAGAAGTCACTCCCCACCCCCCCAGGCCTCAGTCACCCTCTAGTCCCTGGAGTCCTGGGGAACGGTTGGCTCTCTGACACTAGAGATTTTAGCTCCAAAGCTAAAATCCAAAAACCCTCAAAAAGGCCCTAGAGTCAGATAGCCTGGGACAGAGTCTCAACGCCACCAAGTACTAGATGTGTGACCTCAGACAAGTTACTCAACATCTGCAGGCCTCTTCCTCTCCAGCTGAGAAGTGGAGGTGTCAAAAGTCCCACTGAAGGTTTAGATCAAATGAGTCAGAAGAGATGAAGGGCCTAGGAGACAGCCTGATGCTCAGTGAGCACTAGGTCCGGCTGTTATCTCTAGCACTATCTACTCTGCAGGAAACAGCCCTGGGGAAGCCTTTTTTTGGAGGGGGGGGTGAGGTATGATGACTCAGTGAGTTAAGTCTTGCACCTAGTAATGGGTCGATTAAAAATAATAGTTTGTAATGACTGTTATTATACATTATTATTCTAAGGCAAGGGGGCTGCTGCCAGGGTCTGGAATCAAAAGGTGGGAAAACCGCAGCTGCTGAGGCAGGAAGAGGGGACACCTACCTGAGAGGCCAGGACGTGCTGCTGGAGGTGGAAGGGCAGGGTGGCCGCGGATGCCCCAGACAGTCCCTGCGCAGCGGCGGCAGAGGCCATGGCCGAGGATTCCAGGCCCGAGACGCCAGTAGAGGCCCCGGACACGGTGGCCAGCAGGGGCCCCATGCCCGCGGCCATGCTGGAGAAGGCGCCCCCCATGGCRAACTGGCCGGGATGCAGGAACAGTGGGTGCCCGTTGAAGAACTGCTGGCTGGCCAGGCCCGGCGCGAAGCCCAGGCCGGGCAGGGGGCCCTGGGCCAGGTGCGCGGCCGCGTCCGTCTGCACGGTGAGCGGCGCGAASGCCTCCTTGCCTGGCAGCGCGCGCGACTCCTCGACCTTGGCCGTGGCGGCGCCCTCTCGGCCCGGGCTCCGGCGCTCGTCAGCGCCCAGACCGCGGGTGCTGGAGGAAATGGTGGCCGGACTGTGGCGAGAGTCTGGCGACGCCTTGTCCAGCCGCCCGCTGTCCCGGGGACGGCCGCCGGGCTCCGCCGCAAAGAGGTGAGCCTTGATGGCCGGGCTGCCCTTGTCGCGACACGGCTCCTCCGACGTGGTGGTGGTGATCTTGGCCGAGTCGCAGGCCTCGGGGCCGTGTTCTTCTTTGCTCTCGGCCTCCGCGTCGCTCTCAGCCTCGCTGGGACACAGATCTAGCCCAGAAAGAAAGAGGGGGAGACAAAAAGCGAAGCGGAAGGGCRTTAGCTTCGAAGTGCACCAGCGGGGGTCCAGTTCCTAATCTGAATCCCAATTGGCTGTGGAAGCCCGGGCAGGCCCCTTAGCCTCTGGCACCTCAGTCTTCTCATCTGCAAAACGGGGAGGGAGGATACCTAACACCTTAGCTTTTAGATTCAATAAGCTAACAAGGAATTTAAAGTGTTTGGAAGGAGCTTAACCCACCTCCTGGAGAAATTCCCCAAACCAGTAGCTCTTCTTAATCTAATGAATTGTCCTTCCCCCCTCCCCTCTCCCCCCACCAGAACCTTCACTAGCTTTCTCCATTCGATTGCAAATTAACTTTTTTAAAATAAAAACTAAGTTACTTTAAAAGTCACCGCTGAAGCACATTCCAATTATCACCAGTCTTTGTTGGGGGAGTGAGATGCAGCGCAGCACCTTCCACAAATTTGTGGATTACTTTGGAAGGATTTGTTTGGAAAGAATCCTGACATCTGAATTGGTAATGGCAGAAGCAAACACCCCTCCCCCAGCACACACTCAATGGAGCCTTCACGGTCTGCCCCAGTGCCTGCCACTAAATGGGTGATCGGCAGCTCCCCCCACCCCACTGCCCCAGGACAATCAGAGACTCCTTCCTTTTTCTTTCTCCACACCCTCTGTGGGTGTCCTACAAAAAAAAAAAAAAAAAACAAAAAACAGGAGGGGGGATCCTATTTTATGTTTAAAGCTTAAATGGATTGAAGACATTAAGGATTTCACTTAGAAACAGGTTTCCTCCAGTTGAGAGGCTCTGTGTGTCTTTTCAAATAAATAGTGCTTGCTCTTTAAACACAGGAAACCAATTGGGGATTGGAACCATCTCATCCACCCCCAACCTCCCCGGCTGCAGGTCTCCAGGGCTCCACCCCCCCCACCACAGGTGAACTGTTGTTCTCCAGTTGAGTGTCTCTTAGCCACCTCCTGAGTTCCAGGGGCAGAGAATGCCTTCCCTCCTGCCAACCCAACACATTTTAAGGTAGAATTCAGGCCAAGGGTAGGTCAGTAGTTGAAGACTGTCATGGTGGGAGGTTTGGGGGTCGGGGATTGGGAGGGTAGACGGAGAGGGAGAGAAAGTGCTTCAGGCACCCTTGCCCCGGCCAAGAAGTGATATACAAACACACCACCCCACCTGAGCCAAATAAGGCTGTAGGAGAAGAGGCTCTGAGCTTTCCCTCTAGGACCTCAGGGAGAGGGGACTCACCTGATACCCCCTTTTTGAACTTTGGCTCCTGTTTCCAGATGTCTGGAAGGGTCTGCAGCTTGCACTAGGTGAGTCTCCAGGTCTAGGCCTCCAGGCCTCCCCACCCCCAACACCTCCAGGCCCAAAGACCAGGAGTCCAGGTCCTGCAGAGGTGGCCAGGCTTACCTTTGAGGTTCGATGTCCCTACAGTGGACACTGCTGGTGAGGAAGCCTGAGTGAAACAGGTGAAGGCCGCCTGTTCGCTAGAGGACTCATCCGAAGTTCCTGTCTCCTTCTTGTGTCTTTCATCAAACACCCGCATGGACTGCAGGGTGAGCTGCTTTCTGTGGCAGAAGCCCACACCCAGCGTTACAGAGCAAAACACGCACTTCCCCTGTGTCCCTCACTCCTGCCAAAGTGGCATATGCACACCTCACTGTCTGCCACACCCCCCCACAACAGATTTCCTTCTCTAAAATCTGATGGCCCCAGGGCAGCCACACAGCCCCAGCCCACTCTGACCCTTTAAGTGAGATACAGAGTGTGGCATAGGGTGGGGGTGGGGGGGCTTCAGGTGCAGATATTCGAGATCAGGGTTTCACTGGGAAAGGACATTTGCTTGAACGAGGAAACCTTGTTTAAAACCAGGAGGACAGAGGGCAGGAGGTGGCCAGGGACAGCCGAATGCCAGCCTTATAGAGGGAGACAAGCGGGTGTCCAACCCTGAGAACACAATGCTGTCTGTCCCCAGCCTACCCAACTCCTGGATGGTTGCTAAGGTCGGGAGGAAGTGGTTATTTCATGGTGCACTCTACAGTAATTGGTTCACCAACACGTTAATTGGAGTTAAAATTCATTTAGATGTTAGCAAAAATAAATAAATAAATAAATAAAAATTCAATGCTCACTCTCCAGGGGCAGGATAGAAATTTGAGGCATTTTTCTGGATTTTAGAAAAAAATCTTTGAAAACGGGTTGGGGGAGGGAGAGCTGTTCTCATATATTCTCTGTCTGCTTAATGCAAAATGATACATGTCCCTATTAAAGAGTGGGGGGGGGGAATTAGATTTCTCAAGGGGCCTAACTCTGTCTGATGGTATTTGGAAGGCAAGATTGCAAAAAATTCCAAAGCATTTTGTGAATGGCCTGGTCCTTGTCTGGGATCTGCCTAAGACGAATTTAAATTAATTCCAATTAATAGGCATCCCTATGTAATCTGTCATGCTCAATGCTTTTTTTCCAGAGACAACTATGGTATAGAATCATCTGTTTCTTTAAAGGCTACAAGTCATATGTAGAAAAGTTGCAATGTACATTCACAAAGTGTAGTGAGGGGGAAGTCAATTAGCTTCTACCCGCTCTTCTTAGAATAAATTCCTGAATCCCACTTCTAACACTTGAAAGTTTAGTCCTAGAAAAGTAATTTTTTTCCCCTAAATTATCCGAGAAAGGAATAATTGTCTCAACCCACCTTTTTTCTCTCCTGCCATTTCCAGTGTCCCGAAAACCTTTCGCAAATGGGTTGTTGTCTATTTTTAACTGAGTTATCTAGAGGAGGAGACACAAGCAAGACAGAGGCATGAGCTTCACTTTCTAGAATGTTCTGAGATGTTTCCCCCAGGTCAACAGCCTCCTAGAAGTCTGGGTGCCAACAGAGGTCACGTGGATGTGCCAGGTTAAAGAGGAGTCTGTTGTTCTATAGGAGGCAGTTGACAGCTTGGGGTTAGAAATGCAAAAGTTTCTTGAAGTTGTCAAGAGGGACAACCTGTTGACCTTAAAATTGTGTCTTCATTTTGAATTTCTATATAATGCGATTAATCATAATATATGTTAAGGCACACTCCTCTCTGCCTTTATACACAATCACACACACACACACACACACACACACACACACACACACGCCAGCCTTTTCCATGAATCTAATAAAATGATTTATGGGATTTCGCTACCCTTGGGCTAAAGTTTGATTTTTTTTTCCTCCTAGGGTGGGGGGTGGTTTGAGGAATTACACTACTGACAATCACAGATTCTAAAGAGACTGAAAGATCCCTGGAAACATTTGTTTTCCTTTATATTCTTTGCCACCACAATGAGGTGGAGGAGACCCAGTGGCCTCTTTGTCTGATCAAAAATGCTCTATTTTATTATTACATGAACAACTTAGTTTCATAGGATTCTGGGTCTAGAGGGGACCTGCCCTTTGCACGCTGAGGAAAATGCCATAGTTTGTCATCTTTCAAACCCCTTCCCTTTGGGGGGTGGGGGGGTGTCACATATACCAAGTTACCAGAGGTGGGAAAAGAGCCCTGGGTTGGCTTCTGGGTCTTGAAATGTCCCTGCTGGATGCCTGACTTCAGGTTTTGCATTTGACTGGGGGAGAAGGTAATGATGTCCTCTTAGTCTCCAGCCTACGGAAATCTACCTGGGACACCTTGATCATCCCACAGGGACCCATGACAGTCAGAGTGAGTTCTAAATGCAGGATGGATGCTGACAGGTGAGCAGAGGGCTCAGCAGCTGAAGAGCAGGAGTCCCCAGCCCTTGCTCTCACCCCCATTACTGCCTTCAAGTAGCCACGGTTGGCATTGGTCAAGCACTGCTTTCTCTCTGGACCTCTGTGCCCTTGACCTTCAGGCCATCAGAACAGTGCGTTTCAGGTGTACTGCTGAGGGCCCTTCCAACACCCAACATCAGGTCCAAGGGAGAAAAAAAYTTTCAAACAAAGTGGTGACTTTGGCTACCTCAAGTAGAAAGCCACAGACAACTCCATTCACAGGACCCTGTGATCAGGATAGGTTCTTCCACACGCGAGCGCGCGCGCGCGCACACACACACACCATAAAAAAACACAGCAGCATAAAAGGTAATAAAAACCAGACCAGCTTCTCGGGATTTCTGGCTAGAGGAGAAAAGCTGGTCTCCACTAGAATTCTCCTCCCTGAATCCCAAAAGACTTTTTGCCTGAAATTTTTAGCTTCCTTTCTCCCCCCCGCCAACCTTATTTCTGGATCCTTCTTCCTAAAAGGGGAAGAGGACGAACATGGAAACCAACACAAAACAGCCCCAGGGCTCAGGGTTTAGAGTGTATCAGGGGCCGTGGGTACAGGAGCTTCTTGCTGGCAAAAATCAAGGAGGCTTTTCTTGCTCAGCTTTGGGTCCCTAGTTGGTGGAAGCAGGTTTTGTTTCTTCCTCCTGGAAGATGCTAGAGCCTCTTCCCACAAGGGCTCCAGCCGAAGGTCAAATCACAGCAGAAAACCCGAGGCTCACATCCCAATTCCCTTTAAATGTTCCCACCCTGAATCAAAGCAGTTTTTTAAAGGGGAGGGGAACTATCACCATTAAAATAAGAAAAGCCCTTTCAGTTACCTTATCATTCTGGTATGCGGTCACAGCGATGAATTCAGTTTCGGGGAACAAGTACGTCCGAAATGTGCTATAAGGGAGTTTCAAGATGTCATTGGCTCTTACAATGTGGAACCGGGGCTGGTATTTGTGCATGGAGTTCAATATAGTCTGCAGTGGCAGGGAAGAGGAGAGACACAATTTTTTTTTTTTTTAAGGATTAGCAGGACAAATGGGATCTTAAGACCCCTGTTGGGCTGACATCTTCCCCCACGGGCAGGGTCCCACACTTGGATGGGAGTACCTCTTGGGTACAGTTCACTCCACAGATGTAATCTTCTGGAGAATCCAAATTGCTCCTCGATTTCCAATAGGGAACCCCCCCACCCTCGCCATCTAAGGTTCATTTATGCCTTGAACCCTAGCCTACCTGCGTCCCAAAACTATAATTCCCCTGCCACGTTGCGTGATCACTTGGGAAGGCCAAAGTCTTAAAAGATAGAGAAAAACATGCATTTTAATTTAGAAAATGATTCAGTACTTTAAGCGCCCACTAATTGACGAGCCCGGTCCACTTAAAGCCCTGAAAGGCTGAACTCAGAGAGGAATATTTATGCCCTAATCAAATCAAGGGCTTTAAATGCAATTCCTGCCCTCGGAAGATATTTCCGCGCCCTTCACGTCTTCCTGGGCCTAATCTTTCTCCTTATTCCTCGCTTATCACTTTGTTTATTTTATTGAAATGTTGGGGAGGGGTGGAGGAAGGGGCAAAAGGTGCCTGGCCTGACTTTTACAAGCTATCCCAGTCTTCTGAAAGTTTCTAAGCACGGTTCTCACTGAATCCACATCCACATCTAGGCACTATTTTCACTCCGAAAGACCTCACCCTCATTTCTTGTAAACCTGACTGTCACCTTGGCTCAATTCTCTTTTAGAAAAAGAAAACCACATTATCGCAACCATATTCACACCCTTGAGCCAACACAATCAAACCCGGGAGACTTAAACTCTCCCAAGAAAGGGGACGGCTGGATTCCAAAGAGAAGAAGGTGCATGTTTGCAAACAGAACAAATCCTGAATGCAATGGATTTCCACTCTCAATTGTGGGGTTGAAGCTTCCCTGTCAGGAGGGCGAGAAGCTACCCAGGACCTGGGCTGGCTTACAGAACATGAACAAGGGTGCTTTCTCGCTCCCATTTTCTTTAGAAGACCAAGGCCTTCATTATCCGGAGAGAAGCACCCCGGATCCTCCCCCAGCTCTGCGGAAAACCGCACAAATTGGCCAGGCTTTACCTACAGGGATCAAGGGAGAACTCTGACCCGAAACGCAGGAGTTTAGAAGGAACTCGAAAGAACTACCTCCGAGAGAGGGGTAGAAAGCACATCTGCAGGAAGCAGCAAAGGAACTTACAAATCCGTGTTTGTCCGAAATGTTGTTGGTGAGTTTCAGTTTGTGGAAAGTGACAACTTTAGACATCCACTGTTCCCCGGTAGCCGGGCTGTCGGGGTGAATGTACATTCTCTTTGGCATCTCAGGGTCGGCCTTACCCGCCACCATCCACCGAGAATTGTGAAATTTATATCGACAGTCATCAGCAGCTATAATGTCCATCAGTAAAATATATTTGGCCTTTTTATCTAGCCCAGAACATCTCACTTTAAATGGAGGAAACATTCGCCTACAATAGGAAAAGAATGAAAGAGAAAGAAAAAAAAAGAAAGAAAAAGAAAAAAGATAAATTGCTCAGAATCTTGAGGTTGGCTTCCTGTTTATTCTTTTAAAATGTTTTATTGTGACAGAGGAGCTTATATTTTTCAGACTAGAGCAACATGGTACAAAATTATTCTCTTCCACATGGAAGTATGAAACATGCCCGATTTTCTATATTTAAATCTCAAGATTCAAAACAAATGAAGGATGGCACTGCATTTCTCTACAGAGACTAACAATCTCTTTTTTTTTCTCTATGTGCCTGTACAGATTGCCCTCTGTACAGAGAAATTCTTGCTCCTATCTTTTTTTTTTTTTTTCCTTTGTGCATTTAGTTCTAAACAGCTCAGGGTAGGATTCCAGTGAAGTGCTAATCATGGCTAGAATTTTCCACCACCCATTGATGAGAAAATGCTAAATTTATCAAGGAAATAAAGGTCAAGTTGCCCAGGTCCCTTCGGTGCAAGAGCAATCCCGCTGCTGGCGAAAGTGCAAACGGGCTAAGTTCTCCGAATAAATTTTGCAGATTAGGGTGAACTCCCCCATGCCTGCTGCCAGCCCCAAACTCCAATGTTGTGCCACCAAATTGCTGTTTAATTTCATACAAGTGTTGGCATTCTGTATTTCTGACTTAAAAGGAAGCACTCTGCTGGGAACACTGACTAAATGTCTTGTGGGTTTAAGGAAGAGTGTATGCCAAACTTTGGCCTCGTGTAGCTTGGAAGGAGACAGAAAGCTACAGACCTCAAGAGGGGGACTTTATTTTTATCCTGATAGAGTCCAACACTGTAGTTAAAAAAAAACTGAGTGATTGTAAATGATAATCCTGAGGTCCTCTTTTCCAAACATGTTTCCTTCAGGCGAGGACCACTAAACATTATGTAAAATATGGCTTATAATAATTCACATATACAAAAGCAATGTGCATGTCCTCGTGGACTCCTTAGGTCTACAAACATAATCTTAATTATCCAAAATTGCCTGCTGAACTCTTCCTCGGGTTACAGACATGTGAAGTGGTGTGGGCAAACAAACCCATTTGCCCTTCCATTTCTTTCTGACCCTGGCAGGCTCAGGCCCCCTTCAGACCCGGCTAGGTGGAGGGGCAGAAGACCAGGGGGGCAGTGTCAGCCTCCCCCTACCATTCAAAAGAAAGGAGCTTTAAGTTTTTCTCCTGAGAACAAAATAAAACTGATCAAAACACATCAGTAATGAAAGAGGGGGCTACCAAAAAAGCCTTGGAGAGTAAATTTTCTGCAATGGGGTGGTTTTCTTGCTTCCTAAAGGGATGTTTGTACTCCCCTGGAAATATTTGGTCTATTCAGTAGAGACCTGAGATCTGTATTCCACCTATGCAGACGCCCAGGTACACTGAAAACTGCTGTCACCCGGAGCAGGGCTGTGGAATCTCTGCACACATTTTTAGGAGAACTAATTTTTCGTCCCAGCCGTAACAACTGGCAAAGAGACTTTTGGGAGAGGAGAGAGATAAAGGGAGCGGGGGAAACCTCGGAGAGCTTGGGGGGAGAGGGTGGCCACCGCTTGCTTACCTTCCCGACTTGGTAATGACCATCTCGGTGCCCCTCTTGTGGAACTGATCCCAAAGTTCTTTAGCCTCCAGGTGAACCTTCGGATCATCCTCCACCTCTTCTTCGGGCTCAATGGTCTTCAGAGGCCTCAGATGCGCCTGGGGCCCCAGGGACGAGAAAGGGATGCCGGTCTCTGCCGCCCCCACCAATTGATCCATGATCGGCTTGGCCAGGGCGCCGGGCAGCGAGAGCGCCGCGGCGCCGTTGGGAGGCAGCGTCAGCGCGGGGAAGAAGGGCGGCTGGTGACCCAGCACCGCGCTCATGGCGAAGTCCGGCGCCCGGTGAGGTAGGAACGGATGGTAGGCCATGCTTGTCCCAGGAATGACCGGATCTCTCATGGAGAGGCTCATCCACTCCAGGCGGGGACAAGTCCGCAGCTGCTGCCTTGATTTTTTTGTTTTGTTTTTGCTTTTTTTGTTGTTGTTGTTCAACAGCAGCACATAGTTTTTTAAAAACGCAAAAAGAAAAAAAACAGGAGGAAGAAATCACAAGTAAATCACTTCAAAGAGGGGAAATTGTCTTTTGGGGAGGGGAATGTCGCTTTTAAAGAGGACAAGGCGACAAATCAGAAGACATAGTCGCTGGGTGACAGTCCTTGTGCCTTGTGATTTTAAAAAGCCGCTCCTGGAAGTCGGTTTCCGAAGCCAGACGAGCGAGCAGGGTCTCGACTAGCGCCGGAGCCCGGCCGCTGAGCTCGAAATAGACACTCCAGCCCTGCGTCCCCGGAATCGCTCCCCAGCCCCCAGGTCCTTTGTTGCAAATGCGAACGGTTCTCCTAGAAGACTCTCCCCCTTTTCCTCTTCGTCCCCCGCTTCCTAGCTTCCTCTCTTTTGCTGCAGCTAGACTCGGCTTTAGCAGAGAGTGCGGAAAAAGTCTCTTCTTAAAAACAGAAGAAGAAAAAAACCACACACACACAGAGACACACACACACACACGCACACACACACTGATTTAAGCCTCTTCTACCAGCGCTATCAAAACTTGAACAGCAAACTGGCTTCCGTTCGCCCTCCTCCTCCTTCCTCTGCTCCGAGCTCCGGAGGGTGTCTCGGTTTCAATCCGAATCTGGCCGGTCTCTCCTGCTTCTCTTCCTTGTCCTTTAAAACGTGAGCGAAATCGCTTCCTAAATCTGTGTCCAGGCGCGCAGGGCAGGGAGGATTCGGAGGGGAAAAATGGAAAGGAGGGAGAGAGAGAGAGAGAGAGAGGAGAGAGAGGAGAGAGAGAGASAGAGACAGAGACAGAGTAGGCGAGGAGAGGGAGGGAGTGAGGGAGGGAGCGAGGGAAAGCTAGTGAGAGCTACTCGCCACCCTCCTCCGCCTCTAGAATTCCCCGGGCGTCTGCTCGGCGGCTCTAGAAGGTCGGGCTGCGCTGTGGGCTGCGGGGAGCCGGAGGCCTCTTGATTGGCTCTTTGACGCTTTCGGACCAATTGTGTTGCTGCATAGGCGTGGTTTTCACAGGTCGAGTGCTGGGGGATAGAGCCGAGTTATAAAAAGAAGGTGTCGGAAACTGTAACGTCGCAGCGCCGCATCGGTACTACTGCCTGTCCTGTGAATATGTCAACATGATCAGAGGGAGGGCGGGAGCCACTGGGGAGTGCGCGCACAGAGTCGCCTCTAGGTGGCTTATCGAGAGATCGCCGCAGACCCAGAGCTCGCTTGCTCTCGCTCAGCCCACGTCTGAAATGCCTCAGTCATCTAGCCCGGGATCGAGGGAGGAGGCAGGGCCTGGGAGGAAGGGGAGGGAGAGAGGGAGGGAGCAAGCCGGCTAGCCTGCCGAGCCGGGCGGAGAGCGCGCCCGGGCGCCGGGCAGGGGCGCTCGCCTCTCGCGCGCTCGCCTCGCCTCGCCTCTCCACCAGCCGCGGCTCGTTCTCTCTCCGGCTCTCCCTCTTCCTCCGACTCCCGGCGAGCGAAGCGGGCGGCTGAACCTCCTGCGAGTTGGCGTTCGGCCTCTGGGCGCGACTAAAGCCGGCGGCAGCCGAGAGGTGCGCGCCTAGACTCCAGGCTGCGGCGCTCTTCAGCCCCACGTGGAGCGGAGCTCCGCCTGGCCGCCGCTAAGTAAGGGTCCCCAAGCTCGTGCATCTTGGTCCGGGTCTCCCCTACATCTGGGCTCGCGGGAACGCGAGCGCACGGTTGCGGCAGGATCTCAGCACATGAGTGCGTGGCCCCTTTCCACAGTGCCCCACCCCGCAGCCGTATGCGGGGACCCAAGTACCCTCAGTGCATCTGTATTCTAATACGCGCCGAAAAACACGTACACTCAAACATGTACACAGCTTGAGCCCCCGGCCCTGTCTGCGCTCACTCTGGGAGATGGTCTCTGGATTTTATAAAAATGCATTTACCAACCCTTTCAGATCTCGGCTTCCATTTAGATGCGGGCTCCTGGTATTCTGCCTGGATGTGTGTGTTGGGGGGCGGGGAGGTGTAGAGAAGGGAGACTCCGGTCAAAGTGAGTGCAGTGATGGACTAGGGTCTGGGCCTGTCCCTTTCAAGACGCTGCCTTCACCTCGGGGACCAGCTCCTGGTGGAACTGCTGGTAAGGGGTGGATGAGCTGGTTGGGGGAGGTGCGCCAGCCTCCTATCGTCTCCAGGCATCGCACTTATCTCTTGGTGTCTCAGTTCTTTCTCCACCCCAGGACTTATCTCACCAGAAGTCGGGGGCGAATTTGTAAAACAAACCGTGAAACGCCCCCACCCCAGAGGCGAGGGGATTTGTACCAGTTCAGGTAGGGTGGGGGCCTCATTGAGGGCAGCTGGGAGGGAGGCAGTCAGACCTTACTGATCAGGCCTGTCCCCGAAATGGTTACCGCACAGTGACTCCTGTCCTGGTCAGAAGATTCTCCCAAACCCACAGTTCTCGCTTTTGGGGTGGGGTGGGGGTGACGAGGCCGTCCCTGATTAGATGAATGGAAATCTTGACGATGCTCTTTGACTCTTGCTAAGATAAGAGCCTACTTGGTTGGAAAGGGAATGGAGAACGGGCTGGTTTCCGGGCCTAGGGATTAAGAAACCCATGCCTTCGGACGCGTGTCTGCCTAGACCTGCAGAATCCTCTGCTACATTTTGCTTTGTCCACCCCCCCCCAACACCCCAGCTGCCGGGTCCGAAGTGGGAGCTACTGGAGGATAAAAAGGCAGTGCCATGTGGGCCAACCGCCTCGAGATAGGGGAGGGACTTTTGAGGAGACAAGCTTTTACAGCCGCGCATTTTTGACGCACATGGTTAAGAGCGCTTGGCGCCAGCGCTGAGAATTCCCTGAAGTCACCAGAGAGAATAGAGTCGTTCTGCGAACTTGGTCTGGCTCACCATCTCTCCCCTTTCTCCTCCTTTTGGTCTGTTCTATCTGTGTCTCTGCCCACGGTTAAGCAGAGAGAAAAAAAGAGAGAGAGAAAAGAAAGAAGTGCGGCCCAGAGAGGTGGCTCTTAACACCCCCTTCCGTGTCTCCAGCGCAGGATCCTGAAGGGTGCAAGAGGCCAGACCTTCCCCCTCCTTACACCCACCGCCGAGGTCACTTCAGGGTTTCAGGATTCTCTGGAGGCAAAAAACACCCCCTCCCCCATAGTGCTCTCGGCGGGGCCTGGGGCCGCTTGCAGCGCTATCAAGAGCGGCCCCAAATCCCCGAGATCTGGTTTTGTCTGCACTCGCCGGCCAAYCTCTGCCCTGTCGCGTCCAGTAGAAGGAAAATAATGCTGCAACCTCGTTGTGACTGACCTCCTCCTCACCCTCCCGGTGCCCCGAAGGCCCACAGGCCTGGCAGGGAGAGGTTGATACCGGGTCCTCAGCATTATGGCCTCCCGATTGCTTTGAAAAGAGGAGGGGAGTTGCAGATTTTACTTATAAACATCTCGACCTTCTTTCGGCTCTCTGGTGGACCTAGAGCGATTTCTGACCCTCACCCCGCGTCCCCTCCCCTAACCCTCTCCCCAGTTGCCTGTTTTTGTCTGTAGCTCTAATTTAACCCTGGGGTCACCCCAGTTCGCCGCTTCTGGTCCCTGCCCCCACCCCAGTGCGTAAGCGAGGCGGGGTGAGAGGAAAGTTTGCGGGGTTCTCTTAATCGAAAATGTCGACTTCTTGCTAATGGTCTGCAAACTTCCGCCAATTATGACTGACCTCCCAGACTCGGCCCCAGGGGGCTCGTATTAGGCTGGGAGGCCGCTGTAATTCTGGGATCAAAAGCGCGAAGGTGCGAACTCCTCTTTGTCTCTGCGTGCCCGCCGCGCCCCCCTCCTGGTGGGTGATAAACCCACTCTGGCGCCGGCCGTGCGCTGGGTGATTAATTTGCGAACAAACAAAAGCAGCCTGGTGGCCACTGCTTTCGGGTTAAACATTGGCTAGCGCGTTGCGAAGCCCTGTGCCAGGCCTGGCCTCCGGGAGGACCCACAGGCCCGCGCGTCCCCAGTCCTGGCTTCAGAATCCAGCCGCTGGCTCTGCGCGGTCTTTTTCTTTCTTCCCTTCCTGCTTTAGAACCTGGATCTTCTCTCCCTCGGCCTCATGGTTCATGAAAGGCACTTGGGAAACGTTGAAGGAGCCCTTCCCTCAACAGAGTCCAACAAGAGGGCATCGTAAGAGCTGGAGAAGGGAGAGAGAGACCCAAAATCCAGGTCTAAAAAAGACCCACCTACGAATCTTCCTGGTATCCCCGAAATACTCCTCCATCTTTTGAAAAAAAAAWTTTTTTTTACTTAATTGTGGGCCTGGAATTTTAGAACAATAAATAAGTTTTTTAAACTCCCTCTATAATCTGTAATGCCTGCAGCGTTTAAATGGGAAAGAGTAGTGTGTGGACATAGGCGAGGATTCAGGATGGGGGACTCAAGGTGCCTCTGCGGAGGGGGCGGGGAACAAAACCAAACCAACTGCACCTGGATCGGAGGTGCCAGCCTCGCCGGAGAGATGCCAGGATTCCGGTGCTGTATCCCACATTTTGCCCATGCTATCTCCTGCCTCAAACTATAATGGAATCCTTTCGTGATAGTGTTTATCTGCATTTTGCAAAAAAAAAAATATAAATAAATAAAAGATGAGAGGAAGGGGCCTGGAGTGTGGGTAGGCGGGGTCGTTTACTTTGGCGAGTTTGTTGTAAGTACTCTCCGCAGCATGTGTGAGGTCTGGCCAGGAACTATGACACTCCTGCGTATTCCCTTTTCAACTTTCACCCCGGTTTGCCATGAGCTCTTTTCAATCCAAGGTGTCATCTGTTGGGCCTTTCTGTAAATAGAAGGGTATCCATGTTTCTCTTGGGGTCTGAGGCCTAATTAAGAAGTTTCCTACTAGGAGGGGGCACAGGGTGGGGGGGGCACTTCATGTGTAAACTTTTATCAGAGAGGAACTTGCTGCATTTGATCCTCTAATGCTGTCAAGCTTTGAAACCACCCGACTGTGGGACTTCCATCCTCTTTCAGACTCCACTCCCAAATGGGGATGTGATTTTCTTATCACCGATTTCAGCGAAAGAAACTCCCTCCAGAGTACCTGGTTTACAGTTCATGGTTCTTCCTGTCTGTGGTTGCTGGCACCCCCACACAGCCGCCCTCGACCTGCATGCATTAGCACCCCTGTGCTACCCGGGCTCTGGCTCGCCCAAGTGCAATTCAGCTTGGGGGTGGGATTCAGGTTTCTGGGCAGAGCTGGAGGGCTTCCTTTTCATCCTGGAGTCTTGGAATCACCATCTCTCCCACCTCCTGCTCCCCAWAGTTTGCTCTGAGAACTTCCTTCCTCCCAGGAGTCTGGTGTTTGGTCCCTTTGCGAAAGCAATCAACGTGCCCACCTTTCCTCTGTTCAGGATAGGCACCAGCCTCAGGGCTGGACCAGACAGGGCAGGGCATCTCACCTTTTGTTTATCTGTTGCTTTCTTCCTCTCCCCCTCCTTTTCTTTTCGAATGTAGATGCGTGATCTTCTGTAATCTTTTACTTCTCCTCCCTGATTCTAGCTCTTGCTTGGCTGCAGTTTCTCCTTTTCTGCCTCCCTCTCTCAGCCTTAAAGTCTTTCCCTTTCTCTCTCTCTCCCCTCCCCCTCCTGACTTCTCTATTCTTTCTCTTTATTTTTCTCTGTTTTTTTTTTTTCTGTCTGTCTTGGTTCTTTTTGAATTTACTATCATCTTTCTAACTCAGTATTTCTCTTCTCTCCCTCCCTCATCTTTTCCAGTGACTTTGACAGACTGGAAATACTCTTCCTGGGGCCCAAGGAAACATCTTTCCCTCCCTTCCTTGGCTAGGAAGATACAAAGTGTCTTAAGAGATAGAAAAGTGGTTTGGTTCATCTGTCTCATTAGAAGTTTTACCTTCTCTTCTTGGCTTTTCCAGAGTCACCTTTTCCTGGAGTTGGCCCCCATCCCCATACTCTCTGCCTGTCTGAGAGCTCTAGCGCTCTTCCTCACCCCAACCCCTTTCTGGGGCCAGAGCCCAGGGTGAGGGGCTGCATT